GTAAATATATAGAGGATAAAAGTTTCATTTCAAAATTCACAGCAATAGATAGAGGAAAGATTTCAAATGAGGTTAAAATTTGTTTTGATAAGATTCCCTGAACTCTGCCCAAAGTTTGGCTATGAGTCTCAGCATCTGCTTCCATACCCTGCTGGGTAGAGTCTTTCAGAGGCCTTCTGTGGTAGGCTCCTGTTCTACCTGTTTTCTCCCTCTTCCAATGTCCATCCTGTTTGCCTTTGATCATCTTACCTAGGTCCTCATTTTTGCTTAACTTCATTAGGTGTGCAGATTTTAGTATGTTTTTCCTATATTGTATGTCTAATATCCACTTATAAGTGAGTATATACCATGTGTATCTTTCTGCTTTGAGGATACCTCACTCAGGATGATTTTATGAAAGAAGTAGGAGATAGAAAGACCTGGAGAGGACAGGAACTCCACAAGGAGAGCAATAGAACCAAAAAATCTGGGCACAGGGGTTTTTTCTGATACTGATACTCCAACAAAGAGCTATGCATCTAGATAACCTAGAACCCCTGCACAGATGTAGGCCATGGCAGCACAGTCTCCAAGTGGGTTCCCTAGTAATGGGAACAGGGACTGTCTCTGACATAAACTCAGTGGCTGGCTCTTTGATCACCTCCCCCTGAGGGGGAAGAGCCTTACCAGGCCACAGAGGAAGACAATGCATCCAGTCCAGATGAGACTTGATAAGCTAGGATCAGAGGAAAGGGGAGGTTCTCTTTAATTAATAAGTGTAAGTATTCAATGGACTGGGGGAGGAGCATGGGAGGAGATAAGGAGGGTGGGATTGGGAAGGGACAAGGGATGGGGCTACAGCTGGTATACAAACTGAATAAACTGTAATTAATAAAAAATAAATTAATTTAAAAAACAACAAAAAAAGAATTGTTCAGAAAACTTGGAAAACTTGTTTTTTGTTGTTGTTGTTTGTTTTTAATTTCCTTTCTGTTACTTGGAGTTTTAGGGTAAAACAGTATCATCCCTGGGAATCCCAACACAGAAAGCTCAGCTCCCATGTGCAGTGCATCAATTAAACAGAAGGGTACTGGTAAAAGGTAGATAATATAATCATGATAGCCATGTTGGGGAGAATCTCAAGTCAGGTCAGAGATTACTGACATGAGCTCTCAGCTTATTTAGAGAGAGAACTGGGTCAGAAGGTGGGGCATGGATGTATGCAGCAGTTTTGAACTCAGTACACTGTGCTTGATAACTGCTCAGCTCTAGGTCTTGCAAGGGTGTGTGAAAATGTCCCATCACTTTTACTCCATGAAAGGAATAATTTGGTTCTCATGAGATGACTCTTCTTACAAGGTGTACCCTACCATCTTGATAATCATCCTCACTGGGGGCTGCTCTGTCCTGCAAGGCTCACTGATGTTCAGTCCTTCGTCAAAAAAGATGCTTAGCAATAAGTCTTGTCTCCTGGGATCCAAGGAGACAGTGACACAGAAGGGAAATGTTAGATAAAGAAATACGTGATAGAGTCAGGCCAGTCATCAGTGCCTTTGTTTCTAAATTAAAAACCTTATTGTTTTCAAAATTATTTGAAAAAAATACCAAAAGATCTACTGGGAAAGCTGTCATCTCAATGTAGATGTGGTAACTAGGAATATATTCATAGATGGTAATCAAAATGTTCACCATTTCAGTATTTCATCTGTGAATAAAGAATTGTTGCAGTTCAGTTTTAGAGATTAGAGGCATTTTAGAATGAGACCCATGTTCTTGAACCAAATATTGGAAGACAGAGTCTGGAGGTAGTTCCTGCTTCAAGGTTCCTACCTTGAGCTCCTGCCCCACCTTCCCTCTAAGATGGACTGCACCCTATGAGATGTTTTAAACCCTTTCCTCCACAAATTTGGGTTTTGGTCTGTGTTTTATAACAGGTGGCAGGTGGTGGGAAGCATATATTTAAAATCTGAATCATTTCAAGTGTCAAATTGTTCAACCACTTTTGGAGCTGGCAGAGACTTCTTCAGTGAATCAATGGTCTCAGCAGGATTGTTCTTTGACTATGTGATACTGTACCACCCTTCTTGGGCAGTTGGGTGATGGTAGAGGAGGTAAGTCATGAGAAGGTCAGGAACACTGGATTTAACACAAACTGCAAACACTTTGTTATTACCATTTTATTTCTTATGTCTCTCTATGCCACTTGGACCAACAAAGCATAAAAATCAATATTTTTTGCATCTTGTTAGATTAAGTAAGCTGAATTATTTTTTTCTTATTAATAAGTGTAAGTATTCTAAGGAAGCTAGTTTTACTTTTGTTTTTTTAAGAAAGAAGGCACTTAAGAAGAATGGCACTTTTTTTTTAATTGCTGGAGATCAAATCCAGAGCTCATTGTATACTATGTAAACATTGAGCTATGTTCCCAGCCCCATAATTTCCTAAATTCTACAACATTGTCACATGTATATATCCATATTGTCTGAAAAACACAAATGTCAAAAGAGTAGAAATACTAAAAACTGCATTATTTGCCACCTGCTATCCTAGATTCAACAGTCAATCCTTTGGAAGTCTTTGTTTTTTTCCTACTTAACTGCATTGTACTGTGGGTCAGGAAACTGAACACAGGGAGAGTTCTACCAGAAAAAATGTCTCCTGGTACCCTGGAGTTGGGATTCCCAGCTTTATAGGTTTGACTTATTGAAGAGTAATTAGTTGGAAAATTGGCACAACAGCATTACATACAGTTCACTCTCCTTTACTAGTTAACTACTATTAGATTCAACTATTGTGAGAAAGATTTAGGTACCAAGGACAAGGACCTGGGAGATGCAAAATTCATATATCGATACTAAGAAAATAGATAATTAGAAACAGGAGTTTAATTTTATAGAGCATCAGGTGAGATAATGAGAACTAATAAACATCATTGGATATGTTCACCATGCTATGGAGTAAAATCTGCACGCTCCAGAGAATAAAAGGTGTTGAAAACAATATCTAATTAATCCTGCATCCATCTCTCTGCTGCTACAACAACATAGCTAGCTGTCTTCATTACGTGTCTTTTGCTGCGAAGAAATACCATGACCAAGGAAATTTATAAGAGAGAGCAGTAGACTTGTTTACAGATTCAGAGGGTGAGCCTGTGACCATCATGGTAGAGAGCATAGAAGAAGGCAGAGAAGCATGGCTCTGGAGCAGTAGCTGAGAGGTTAAATCTTATCCACGAGAAATAGACAGAGAGCGCAAGGCTGGGCCAGGTGTGGGCTTTTGAAACCTCAAAGCCAGCCCCAGTGACACACCCCAGCCATCAAGGCCACACCTCCTAATCCTTCCTAAAGGGTACACCAACTAGGAACCAAACACTCAAATATAGAAACATTTCCATGAGGGCCATTCTCACTCAAATCAGTATGCTACACATCTTTCCATGTGTTACTTACTTCAAACCAAAATATTTTATCAACACCTTGATATTTCTGTTTGTTACCTATAAACAGGAAGCATGTACTGTCTACCCTAGAGAATCAAGACAAAGGCAAAAAGGATTATGAAAACTTTTAAACCCCAAAATGATATGTTTACTTTAAGCCATTTATATGAGCATTATTATAGATGGTATTTTATACTATTTTGGAAACAAAAGTAATGGCTCAATTCCCTTTTACTTTTTTTTTTTTACCTATAAATACTTTTTAATTCACTTTACATCCTGGTTTTAGCCCCATTCCTCTTCCCCTCCAAGCCCCACCCTCTCTCACCTCCCCCTCATCTATTCCTCAGAAAAGGGGATCTTCCTTTCCTATCTAGCCCAGCTCATGAAGTTCATCAGGACTGAATGTGTCCTCTTCCCCTTTGGCCTGGCAAGGCAGTAACACCTGGGGGAAGTGATCAAAAAATTAGTAAGTAAGGCTTACCCCCACACCTCATGGGGAGGTGATCAAAGAGCCAGCCACTGAGTTCACGTCAGAAACAACCCATGCTCCCCTTACTAGGGAAGCCACTTGGACACTGAGCTGCCATGGGCTACATATGTGCAGGGGTTCTAGGGTATCTCCATGCATGGTCCAAGAAGACAATGCAGCCAGTCCTATTGAGACCTGATAGGCTAGGGTCAGATGGAAGGGGAGGAGGACCTCTCCTATCAGTGGGCAGGGGGAGAGGAGAGAGGGAAGGTAGGATTGGGAGGGGCTGAAGGAGGGAGCCACAGCTGGGATACAAAATAAATAAATTGTAATAAATAGAAAAATAAATTAAAACATTAAAAAACGTTAGTGAGTCCATGTCCAATGTGGTCTCTATGTTTCTTTCTAGAGGACCCACATGAAGCCTAAGCTGCCCATCTCCTACATCTTTGTAGGGGGCCTAAGTCCAGTTCATATATGGTCCTTGGTTGGTCCTTCAGCTCAGCAAGCCCCTGTGGGCCCTGGTTAGTTGGCTCTGTTGGTCTTTTTGTAGAGCTTCTGTCATCTCCAGGTATTTTTCTCTTTCCTCCCATTTTTCCACAAGACTCCATATGCATCACTCAATGTTTGTCTGTGAGTCTCAGCATCTGTTTTGAGGCGCTGCTGGGTAGAGTCTCCTATAGGACAACTCTGACAGGCGTAGCAGAGTATCATTCATAGTGTCAGGGGTTAGCCTTGCCCAACCAAAGACCCACCCTATGGGAGAGTCCCCTTCTACTTTTAATCTGGCAGCAGTCTTCTCTGGCCTATGCCTGTTATAACTCCTTCCTTCTATGCCTTGATTTCCATTTAGTATTAACTTAATGCCAGTTCTATTTTTTAGAACCCATAAATGTCATATAACATTAGAATAGCCTTACATTCCTAAATTGACCTAGGATTCTAGCCACAAATTTGCTAGTGCCCTGGAAAGCAATAGCCCCCGTGTGACCTGTCCACATTTAAAGGTAGGCAAAACGATTCCTTGCTAACTTGTCTCATATGAATGGAGACATAGTGAGCATGAATTTCTTCCAAATTTGCAAATAATCATCTTTTTGTCAGTTGTAGAGAGTATTTACCTGCCTACTGTAGAATGTCTTCCCTAAAGCAAATCTCAGCTGGTTAACAGGTGGAAGGTTTCTTCAGGGCAATGAAGAAGGTAAGGAATCTAAGCCATGGGGGTGGGTTCGGCAACACCAAGCCTTAGAAAGCCTTGGTGCCCAAGTTGATCTTGGCACTTAAAAGTTACTGTTGATCCAGGAGAAACATCATCTTAAAACTACCAGGTGACACTTTCTGATACTTGACCTGATTTCTTCCAAGTGGGTAAATGACAACATTTTCCAGAGTAAAAGCAGTACAGTTGATTTCTTCAGACCACACACATTATTTACTTTGTGTTAGCCAAAACAAATATTCTGTATGAGGATAACAACATTCAAATAAACATACGGTTACCTTTGTAGCATCACTATCTGCTCTGCTTTTTCTTTATTGTTTTAATATATTATGTCCAGTTTTCTTGGCACCACTGTTTTAAATCAGGTGATAACAATTTCCACAGTTTCTTGTAATTATCTTCGGCAAGACCTAAGGGTGTGACACTAGGGATGGATTTGAAGGAGTTAGTTCCTCCACAAGGAAAAGATCTACTGGGAGAATTAAGTTCCTGGGGCAGGGATACACACTGAAACAATTTCAGTACAAAGTAGTATTTCATATAGGCAGTAACCATGTAGCATATAATATCAGGCATCTGGACCTGGACAACAGGCCTTCCACTGACTCATTCTTCCAGAACATATAACTGAATCACAAAGCTCTTGTTCAATTATTTCTTTTCATTTCTAAAATTAAGAGCTTCTGCTGCTGGGTGATTTTATTGATCCCTTGAGTTCATTTTAAAAAGCAGCAATAATACAACACAATCCCAAGATAATGTGTTAAAACTTATGGTAAAAATATATCTTACTATTAAGTAAATACTCTATAAATAAAACACCCAGATAAGATATGTCCATTCTCAAATAAGAGGCCAGACAATGTGATCCAAATTCCACCAGCATACAACTACATATACCTAATACTTTTCCAAATAGTAACTTCAGAACTAGCATCAGGAACCTTTCATGTGAGCCAGGCATGTTGGCACAGGATTGCAAATCCTAGCATTGAGGAGCTACAGGAAGGGGAACAAGAGTCCAAGGTCATGCTTGGCTACATAATGAGGTTGAGGCCAGCCAGAGAAACACCAGACCCAGTCTCAACAGAAACAAAAAACCATTTAATGTAAAGACTCTGAGCGTTCAAAATGATCTCTCCTGTGGGGACAGGATAGATAGTAAACCGTTGTTGCAACGCATGCAATTTGGAAGTTATCCTAACGGTGATAATTTAAAGATTCTAGAGAAAACTCATGGGACCAAAATGTAAAATGCTTATCAATATATAATTTATTTCAGGAAAAGCATATGATATTGTATCGGAATTAGAATTCACATCATCCATTACACTTACAGGACGGAGGAGGAGATCCAATTGACTCAACGCCCTGTGCATTCACTCTACAAGGCCCACACACACACACGCACCTTCTCAAATTAGAAAGCCAATATGTGCAGACCAGTGCTAAAGTGGGAAGCTCAGAGCCAGAATGGATTGTTTCATATTGCATTGATATATTATTTTTATATATTCTTACTATACAACAGAAGAGCCCTCCCAGAGTCCAATCCAATTCCAGTACAAATCACCAATCTGACCATTACTAAATGGCACTAATGAGTTGAAATAATCTAACCCCAAACCTTTGGGTCCATATACTGAATGCTTATTACAGCCTGACTATGGATCAGAGTTACCCAGGACCAGGAACAATTGTCTCCCGTTAGATCCGGCTTTGCTGGAAGTGAGCCTTGCTTCTCAGAAGCTAAAGGCTGACTGGGAGTCTACATTACCATAAATTAGTTGTGTGTTGCAGCAAAAGGCTGTCGGCTGTTTACTTAGATGGGGCAAGAGGATGTTTTAAGCTATGATTTAAAGGCTAGTCTGGGCAACAAAGGGAGACCCTCATCTCAAAATAAAAGCGAATTTTAATGAGGATTGAGCATCTTCTCTAGGGTCTTCCTTGTTGTTTAGCTTCATTAGGGCTATAGATTTTACTATGTTTATCTTATATTATATGGCTAATATCCACTTATGAGTGAGTATATACCATGTGTGTCTTTCCGCTTCTGGGTTACCTCACTCAAGATGATCTTTTCTAGTTCCCAACATTTGCCTGCAAATTTCATGATTTCCTTGTTTTTACTAGTTGAGTAGTATTCCATTGTGTAAGTGTACCACAATTTCAGTTGAGGGACATCTAGATTGTTTCCAGCTTCTGACTATTATGAATAGAGCTGCTATGAACATAGTTGAGCAAATGTCCTTGTTGTATACATGAGCATATTTTGGATATATGCCTAGGAGTGGTATAGCTGGATCTTGAGGTAGCACTATTCCTAATTGTCTGAGAAAGCACCAGATCAATTTCCAAAGTGGTTGCACAAATTTACATTCCCACCAGCAATGGAGGAGGGTTCCCCCTTCTCCACATCCTCTCCAGCATGTGTTGTCACTTGGTTATTTTTAATTTTTAATTTTTTATTAATTACACTTTATTCATTTTGTATCCCCCTATAAGCCCCTCCCTCCTCCCCTCCCAATCCCTCCCTTCCTTCCTATTCTCTATGCATGCCCCTCCCCAAGTCCACTGATGGGAGAGGCCTTCTTTTCCTTCTTTCTGATCCTAGTCTATCAGGTTTCATCAGGAGTGGCTGCATTGTCTTCCTCTCTGGCCTGGTAAGGCTGCTCCCCCCTCAGGGGGAGGTGATCAAAGAGCAGGCCAATCAGTTCATGTCAGAGGCAGTCCCTCTTCCCATTACTATGGAACCCAGACCCACTTGGACACTGAACTGCCATGGACCACATCTGTGCAGGGGTTTTAGGTTATCTCCATGCATGCTACTTGGTTGGAGTATGAGTCTCAAGAAATAACCCTGTGCTCAAATTTCTTGGTTCTGTTGCTCTCCTTGTGGAGTTCCTGTCCTCTCCAGATCTTACTATTTCCCACTTATCTTAGCCATTCTGTTGAATGTAGGAGAAGACTGGGAACAGGACAGGAGTCTACTACAGAGGGCCTCTGAAAGACTCTACTCATCAGGCTATCAAAGCAGATGCTAAGACTCATAGCCAAACTTTGGGCAGAGTGCAGGAAATCTTATGAAAGAAGGGGGAGATAGAAAGACCTGGGGTGGACAGGAGCTCCAAAAGAAGACCAACAGAGCCAAAACAGTTACTGAGCCCTGGAGGCCCTGCAGAGAGTGATACCCCAACCAAGAACAATGCATGGAGAGGACCTAAAACCCAGGCTCTACCTATGTGTATATATTTAAATATGAAAAAGAATCACTGTTGATTAGGATATAGATACACTCATATAGACTGAATGTGATGGACTTACAGGAAAATAGCCTTACTAAACCTCATCTAAGTCCATAAAGAATAAACAGAAGATTACACATGAGGAAGGTCACAGTCTTGGAACAATATGAAGTTTACCAAGTCTCACAAAGATTTGCCAAGAGCTTTGGCAGAATCTGAAGCCATGAGCTAAAATACTCTAAAACCTTCAGCTCTGAATAAGACTACTAGTCCCATTCCCCCTTCCCAAAGCAATGTTTTCTGAAAAATGAATACTGATTTTTATACCTCAAACATGTTATAATTCAAATTTTACAGGGAAGCCCTTCTTGTTTATTTTTACACTCCAAACAAGTAGGTAAATTTTAATCACCAGATGAACCTCTAGTTTTTACAATGAGAAAGTAAAGCTAAAAAACCTTGGAATGGTTGAGCAAATGTCCTTATCGTATACTTGAGCATCTTTTGGATATATGCTAGGAGTAGTATAGCTGGGTCTTGAGGTAGCACTATTCCTGTTTGTCTGATAAAGTGCCAGATTGATTTCCAAAGTGGTTGCACAAGTTTACATTCTCACCAGCAATGGAATAGGGTTCCTATTTCTCCATATCCTCTCCAGCATGTGTTGTCACTTGAGTGTTTGATCTTAGCCATTCTGATGGGTGTAAGGTGATATCTCAGGGTCGTTTTGATTTGCATTTCCCTGATGACTAAGGATGTTGAGCATTTCTTCAAGTGTTTCTCTGCCATCTGATGTTCCTCTATTGAGAATTCTCTGTTTAGCTCTGTATCCCATTTTTTAATTGGGTTACTTGACTTGTTGCTGTTTAACTTCTTAAGTTCTTTTTATATTCTGGATATTAGCCCTCTGTCAGATATAGGGTTGGTGAAAATCCTTTCCCAGTCTGTAGGCTGTCATTTTGTTCTGCTGACAGGGTCCTTTGCTTTACAGAAGCTTTTCGATTTCATGAGGTCCCATTTATTGATTGTTGCTCTTAGAGCCTGTGCTGTTCGTGTTCTGTTCAGGAAGTTGTCTCCTGTGCCAATGCGTTCAAGACTCTTCCCCACTTTTTCTTCTAACAGGTTTAGTGTGTCCATTTTTATATTGAGTTCTTTGATCCACTGGATTTTAGTTTTGTGCAGGGTGATAAGTATGGATCTATTTGCATTTTTCTACATGTAGACATCCAGTTAGAGACCTCATAGACTATGGTCAGATGGAAGGGGAGGAAGACCTCCCCTATCATTGGACTGGGGGAGGGGCATATGAGAAGAAGAGGGAGGCAGGGTGAAATTGGGAGAGGTAAGGGAGGGGGCTACAGCTGGGATACAAAGTAAATAAACTGTAATTAATAAAATTTTTAAAAGATATAAAAATGTATCTTCTGATACAGGAGCCATTTAAATGAGCAGGTTAATTGGATTTTGAGAAACATCCTCTCCTCCAATTAATTTTAGGTATCTGGAACATTTATCTTAATAATGAAATGTTTGGTCTAGGAGATTAAGGAAAAATGAAGAGAGGACAAGGAAGTAGCACCAAAGTGGGAAGGGAAATAAGTAGAGAAGAGACTTGAGGATTAAAATGCCCTGGGTATATTTGAATTAGTGCAACAAAAAGATGTTGAAGGAGAATAAATGATGAGAAAATTATCACATTCTTAGCCTCCCATTATACAATTCAAAGTGCAATAATAAAAGCATACAGTAAAATGTGAAATGTTTCAATTTGTATATCAATAGAGCAATAATTTATAAGAAGTCCATCACCTTCTGAATGATCTGCTAGATGTGGACAATAAAAAGACACAATCCGAAAAAAAAAAAAAAAAAACAAACCTTGGAATGTCCCAAAATCTCAGTTTCCAAAGCTGTAACACCCTTTCTTGTCCTATTCAGACACAAATCATTGTGAATGAGTCTGCAGACACAATCAAGGCTCTGTAGAGAAATGGAACCCTTGAATCATGCTTCATTGTGTGTTCCAGGTTCTTCAGCACTGCCTGGCAGACATGCTCTCTGTGGTAGTCCTACTAGATGCTTTCTGAACTCTGGAGCACTCCCCTGCTGCCTGCCACAAGAGTCATCGCTTTGCCAAGTGAATCAGTCACTTTTCATTGCTGTGATAAAATGCTGGGACCAAAAACAACTTAGGACAGAAAGAGTTTGTTTAGGTTTACAATTTTGAATGGATAGAGAGCATGAGTGGTGGGCAAGGCACGGCATGTGGGCAGGAGCAGGAAGCTGGTTGATCACACCAACACAGTGAGAATAGGAGGCACAGGGAGAACCAGAGATCGAAGTAAGTAGAGTGATGCTATAAAACCCTTACCAACCTCTCCCCGAAGTGATGGACTTTCTGCAGCAAGGTTCCACCTCCCTAGAGTTCCGAAAAACTTTCCCAAAGAGCATCCTTCAACGGGGTACCAGGTGTTCAAATACATGTGCCTTGGTGGGGAGAGGGGGCATTTCTCATTAAAACCACCATGCCAAGCTTTTATTGCTGAAAAAATACTGAAATAAAAACTCAGAAGAATAACCAACCCTCCCAGAGCCAGCAGAGAGAAATTGAGATTATTCTGGGAAAGAAAAAGAAACTGAGTGGGAAAATGGGGGAAGATTTCTCCTTTTTGTTCTAGGACAAAGATCATAACATTGCAGGCTGGGAGGTAATATGCCTCTGAGGAATACACCTCTCTCCCAGTAACTCAGTCTCTGAGGAGGGTCAAGTGCCCAAAGATGCTTGTTTTAGAGTGGAGATTCTCAACCTATGGGTCAAAGAACTCTTTCATGTTGATCACCTAAGACCATCAGAAAACACAGGTATTTACCTTATGATTCAAAACAGTAGCAAAATTAGAGTTAAATGAAGTAGCAACAAAACCAGTTCTATGGTTGCAGGGTCACTTCTCCCCAACACGAGGAACTGTATTAAAATGTCACAGTGTTAGGAAGGCTGAGAACCACTGTTTTAGAGAATTCAGAAAAGTTCAGATGAGGTGACTGAGATGCAGAATTCCCACATTTTGCATCCACCTAAACCAAAACAGATGATCCTTTTCCAGCATGTCCTAACTG